AAATTCTCCCATTCCTGTCCAGTTTAGTTCACTGATTCCTAAGGTGTTATGTTCAATCTTTCCATCTCCTGCTTGACCACTTCCAATTTGCCTTGATTCATGGGCCTAACATTCCAAGCTCCTGTGCAATATTGTTCTTTACAGCATCAGACTTTATTTTCACCTCCAGACACCTCCACAGATGACATTGTTTCCACCTAGGCCCCGCTGTTTCATTCTTTAATTGCCGTCTGCTCTTCCCCAGTAGCATATTGGACATCTTCCCACCTGGGGGGGGCTCATCTTTTGGTGTCATATCTTTTTAAAAGCGTTTTCATGTTCTCCGTGGCGTTCTCCAGGCAAGATTACTGGAGTGGGTTGCCTTTTCCTCCTCCAGTGGACCATGTTTTGTCAGAACCCTTCACTGTGACCTGTCTGTCTTGGGTGACCTGGCATGGTTTTGGTCATAGATTCATTGTGTTATGCAAGCCTCTTCACAACAACAAGGCTGTGATCCATGAAGGGGAATGTTCTTAGATACCTATAGTTGTTTTTTAAATTACGATCTTTTTTTTTTTTTTTTTTTTTTAGTTTGAAGAATGTCTGCTTGTCTAGTTTGAGATTAAAAACATTGAATCTAGTTCTCAAGTTTTTCTCTTTTTTGACACACTGCAAGCTGCATGTAGGATCTTAGTTCCCCAACCAGGGATTGAACCTGCGCCCTCAGCAGTGGAGGTGTGGAGTCCTAACCACTGGACTTCCAGGGAAGTCCCTAGTTCTTAAAGTTTAAGTGACAGGTCTGGGACTCTTTTATCTGGTTGGGAGTGACAGAGAACAGAGTTGTGGGAGGTGTTAGCACTGGGGTTCTTGTCAAGGTTGGGGTAACGGGGACTAGTCTAGCCTGGGGTGACAGACTGAGGGTCTTATTGTCTAGTTTTTGGTGACCAAGACTGGGCTCCGGAGTTTCTTTAGGGGTGTTAGAGTTGAGGTCTAGTCTTTTTGAGGGTGACAGAATGGTAGTCTAGCTGTTAGGCTGAGACGCCAAAATTCTAAGGTTTGGGATAGCAGGTTGAAGATTCCATTTCTAGTTTGGAGCACTAGGAACTGGGGTCTGGTGGGCTCCATTGGGGTGTCTGAGACTTGTGGTCTGATTATCTCTTTTGGGGTTTGAGACACAAGGCTGGTTGTCTGGCTCAGGGTTATAGAGACCAAAGGCCTGGTTATCTAGTTTAGGGTGATGACGCTGGGCATAGGGGTGTTAGTTTGGGTGAAAGACATTGGGGTGACCACCTGGATAGTATGAAGAGGCAGACACCACAGGTCTGGTTGCCTCGTTGGGATGACAGACCAACTGGACTCCTGTCTGTCTTNTACTATCAAGTGTGAAACAGATCACCAACCCAGGTTGGATGCATGAGACAAGTGCTCAGGGCTGGTGCACTGGGAAGCCCCAGAGGGATGGGATGGGGAGGGAGGCGGGAGGGGGATCAGGATGGGGAACACATGTAAATCCATGGCTGATTCATGTCAATGTATGGCAAAAACCACTACAATATTGTAAAGTAATTAGCCTCCAAATAATAAAATAAATGGAAAAAATAAAATAAAGTAAAATGGATAAAATAAATAAATAAATAAATATAACAGTTTGTACATGTCCATTCCAAACTCCCTATCTATCTCTTCCCCCCACCCTCTCCCCCACCCTCTGACAAACATAAGTTTGCTCTCTTAAGTCTGTGAGTCTCTTTCTATTTTGTAGTTAAGTTTGTCTGTATCATTTCTTTTTAGATTCCATATATAAGGGATGTCACATGGTATTTCTCCTTCTCTGACTTACTTCGCGCAGTGTGATGATCTCTGGGTCCATCCCTGCTGCTGCAGACTGCAGACAGCATTATCGTGTTCCTTTCAGCAGCTGAGTGTTGTTCCCTATATGTATGCAGCACGTGTTCTTTGTCAGCTCCTCTGTCAGTGGGCAGTCGACAAGTTGTTCCCACGTCTCGGCTGCTGTAGACAGTGCTTCCGTGAACACGAGGGTGCATGCATCTCAGGGTTCTTGAGAGAATTAAATGCCCTATATTGCTCAGGGACCAATAAGTGCCTATTTACATGTTCAGCATGTGTGAATTGCTATCATTGGGCACATTCATTTGATTAAAAATATGGCATGCTAGTTTTGTTTATTAAAGGGTGATTTTTTTTCCCCTTTTAGGGCATCTCGCTTACTAGGGTGGTAATCCTCAAACTGTGGTTCCAGGCTGCCAGCATTACCACAGCTAGGGACATGTTAGAAAAGCGAATTATCAAGCCTTACCTTGAGTATTGGTGAATACGAAATCCTAGAGATGGAGCCCAGCCAAATCTGCTTCAACAAGCCTCCAGTGATTCTGATGTAACAAAAGTTTGCAGACGTTGTTTAGTCGCTCAGTCGTGTCTGACTCTTTTGCGGCCTCCTGGACTGTATGGTAGCCCGCCAGGCTCCTCTGTTCATGGGATTTCCCAGGCAAGAGTACTGGAGTGGGTTGCCATTTCCTTCTCCGGGAGATCTTCCTGACCGAGAGATCAAAGCTGCATCTCCTACATTGTCAGGCAGATTCTTTACCACTGGGCCACCAGGGAAGCCCTCGAGAGACATTAGGGTTAGAGAAAAAAATGTGGCCTTTCCCAATTTCACCCAAGGCCAACTCTGCCCAAAAGAAGCTTTTGGAATTAATCCTTAGACACTGATTTTTCTAGAATCAATTCCCACAGCTCCAAAAGGATGCTGCAATCACCTTGTTCTGTGAGCCCGTCTGATCACTAAGATTCTTGATTAATAGTTAATCACTTTGTCTTGACAGCATTTGAAATTATCCATCATTTTATAAGAGTTTCTTCTCGTGTAGAATGAGATGTAACACTGTGATGATCACAGTCATTAGAAGACGCTGCTGGACTTTCTCCAGAGTGAAGCAGGCAGAACATTTGAGTTGCCCCCAAAAGCAAGCTGATTTCTATTTTTTCATAAAAAGCTAATATTTGATCAATTTTTCTAACTGGTCATTATTTGAATCAACCTTGTAAGGCTTTTCTATTTAAGTTTCACATTGTTTGTCAAGTTTCATGAGTAGAAAGTGACCTACGGTGAACTTTCAGATTAAACCTGATTCAGTGCAGGAACAAAACTCTATAGAATGTTTTTGAGCTTTAGTAAGATTAATTTAACATCATTCTCAAAACTGAAAATGAAACTACTATTTTAGAAAAGTCCAAAGAGAGGAAATTAAACTACAGTCCTTTTTATCAATAATTTTTAACAAATGAGAATACTTAAATGATTTAAATGTTTCAGCCTCCACAATTTTTTAAAGTCATCTAACTCCCCCAATATCTCATAAGTAAAGGATGTGCCTGCAATGCAGGAGATGCCGAAGACAAGGGTTCGATCCCTGGGTTGGGAAGATCCACTGGAGTAGGAACTGGCAACCCACTCCAGAATTTTTGCCTGAAAAATTTCATGCACAGAGGAGCTTGGAAACCTACAGTCCAAGGGATTGTAGAGTTGGCTACAACTGAGCCACTGGGCAAAACTTCCCTAAGTCTCTTTCTTTAATCTATAAGACTAAAGGGTTATATAAATAGATTTTTCATTTCTTTATAGCCATGAGTAAAGAACAGTGCAATGAATACATTGAAAACTATTATTTATAGTGAGGAATAGAATGTTTTATTCCTTTGGGAGTCTTTCTGAAGGAGATTCTGTTCTAACTAGATAAAAATTTTGAGCAAGGTCCTTTATTTTTATTTTAGGGAATTGTTCCATGTGATTATTAAAGCTCTCATGACTGAAACCTGTCGGACACACTGGCAGACTGGAAATTCAGGCAAGAATTGATGCTACCACGTCAAGTCTGAATTATGCAAGCAGCAGGCTATAAACTCAGGGAGGATTTCTATGATATAGTTTTTAGGAGAAGTCCTCCCTCTCTGGGAAACCTGCCTTTGTCCTTAAGTCATTTAACTGATTAGGTGAGGCCCACCTACATTATGAAGAGTGATCTTCTTTACTCAAAGTTTACTGATTTAAATCTTAGTCACATTTTAAAAATACCTTCACATCAGCATCCGCAGTAGTTTTTGGCCAAACCACTGGACACTGTAGGCTATCCAAGTTGACACATAACATTAAACATCACAGTATAAGATCACACTTCAGGAAAAATATAGATCCTATGAGAAAGTATAGATGAAGCTGAGGCTTCAATCTTTAGACTGAGAAAGAAATACTAATGAAAAGCTTGAAAAATCCACTATAGATAACAGTTGTATGTCCCAGAAAGGCTGCTAGTGGCAGAGGATGAAGGAATGATAAACCTGGATCAGACTTGGAAGAATTAGGAAGGTTTATAATTTTTTTAGGCATAAATGTCAAGACCAATGTTATAATCTTCTGAAGGTTAAACATTATTTAACCTTTGCTTCTCAAAAGCTAGATGCAACTCAAGAGCTCTAGAAGGTGAAGAGGGTGTGGGAAGAATCAGTGATTGATTTAAAGAGTGTGAAATAAGTACTCTTGTTGCTTATTTCAGCACTAGGAGCAGTGCTGAAATAAGCAAAAAGAAAGTGAAAGTGAAAGTCACTCAGTCATGTCCGACTCTTTGTGACCCCATGGACTATACAGTCTGTGGAATTCCCCCGGCCAGGATGCTGGAGTGGGTAGCCTTTCCCTTCTCCAGGGGATTTTTCCCAACCCAGGGATCGAACCCAGGTCTCCCACATTGCAGGCAGATTCTTTACCAGCTGAGCCACAAGGGAAGCCCAAAATAAGCAAAGATATTAATGTTTACCTTTAATATTCTATATGTTCTGCTCTTTGTGAGTAAAAGCTAATGAATACAAGGGGGAAAGACAACACAGAAGCTGATTCTAGTGCCCAGTTGCTGCCCAGGGACTAGAACCAAGACTGATGAGTCAGCTGTTGGGGAGAAGAAGCCAAAAGTAATTGGCTGATGTAATTTCAGAAACATGCTCTGCATCATATACACTATCTTATTTAGTTCAAACAGCTTCTTACAGGTTTTTACAGATGAGAAACTTGAATTTCAAATGCTTTAGGTAAGTTACCTAAAGTCATATAGCATTTTAGTAGTAGATCCACAGTTCAGATCCAGGTCTCTCTGACTTGAAAACTCGTTGTCTCTATGCTTCATCGCTCTGCCTCTGGAAAAGAGGAAGGGAACAGAAGTCATGAGGGAAGGTGCTGTGTCAAATTTGCCCAGTCTGCTTCTGTCCACAGGGGTCCTCTCAATTCTGAATCCCTCCTTCCTGGGCATGCCTGATTCTCATAAACTCGTAGACTAGCTCAGCCTCATTGCCCCATCTTCTTGTGAATAGGTGGGAGTATCCCAGAAAGCCTGGGGCCTGGGATCTTGGGAGCCAAGATTTGGTGTGGGGAAAGAGCAAGGCTGGCCTGTGAGCTGCAGAGCTTGAAGGCAGACGCATCTGAAAGTCAGTTCTCAGGTCAGGAGATCTAGGTATCAGTCAAACCAAGGTGTCAATCCAATGGAATGAGGAGGCACCCAGGTCTGAGGCTGCAGGAAGGAAATGAGGCTTGTCAAGCCAGAGCAAGAGACAGAAGAACAGAGGAGAGAGGGCATTCTCTTTTTGATGAGGCTCCTAAGATGGTGAAAATCCACTAAATAGAATCATATAGGCCCAATATTTAAGGTATTGGCTCCCTGGTCACTTATAAGCTGTCTGATCTTTGGCAAGACTGTTTCTTCATGTGTACAATGGACTTAAGGTTGAAAACTAATGCATATAAAATATCTAATATATTAGATATATATATAATATAATATCTGTATTCATAAGTGCTCACTAAAATTGCCTCTGTTTTTGTTAATTATTGTCAACCTTACTGAGAAGGGGCTTCCTAGGTGGCCCAGTGGCAAAGAATCTACTTGCAGTACAGAAGACATAGGTTCGATCCCTGGGTCAAGAAGATACCCTGGAGGAGGAAATGGCAACCTACTCCAGTTTTTATGCCTGGAAGACTCCATGGACAGAGGGACCTGGTGGGCTACAGCCCATGGGATCACAAAGAGTCGGAGAAGATTGAGTGACTGGATGCATACGCGCTGGTTAGAAGACAGCTGTAAGGGGGATGATGGGGTTAATGCTGTGTGAACCACACTGACACCACATTCTCCCAAGGATTCTGGGAAGTATCCTCTTGCCCCGTCTCCCTGAGATGCCGAAAGCTCAGCGTCTCTGCACACTGGAGCCTAGTTGAATCTCAAAGAGACAGCTTTGAGTGAAGTAGGAAAGATGAGCTTTATTGCTTTACCAGGCATAGGGAGTCACATTGGGCTGGTGCCTGCAAAACTATGTGTCCCAATTTGCCTAAAACAGTAGGAAGTTTTTATTGTAATTGATCAAAGAAGGCGTGGTCAGCTCGTGGATGTTCTTCTGATGGGTTAGTGGTGAGATCCATAGGAGTGAGCATCATCAATCTTCAGGTCCAGCTGGTCTGGGGTCTGCATGCCTGTGGGCAGCAAGCGTACCATCGTTAATCACTACCTTCTCCCACCTGGAAGTGGTTTCAGTATCTGCAGAATAACTCAAAGATACTGCTGTGTGACCAGATGGTTGGATGGCATCATCGACTCAATGGACATGAGTCTCAGCAAACTCTGGGAGACAGTGAAGGACAGAGGAAGCCTGGCATGCTGCAGTGAATGGGGTCACAAAGAGTAGGACACCTCTGAGCGACTAAATAACACTATTAGTTTGTGTATCTGTTATTGGGGAAACAGGACCTTGTCCCAAGGCTGCTCTTGGTTGCTGTTTCTCCCTGGTCTCACATCCCCTCCCTTCCCTAATTAACAACAACTTGAATCTGCCCATTGAAACTCAGGGAAGGTCATGGAGGCTGAATAAAGACTGTTTCCTATAATCAGTGAAATAGGGGACACAGAATGACCTTGTGCCCAGGAGCCCCACCAGGCCCTGTACAATATCACTTATGTTAGAAACAATCAGACCACAGGGGGTCCATGACAGGGATCTCACAGGTCCCCAGGTGGGGCACAGGGCTATTGCTACTATTTGTGGAATTTATAGAGCTAAATGGAGGTACCAGCAGGTATATCCTGAAGTAGAACCATGATAGAAGAAATGCCAATTTATCTTCCATCAGAGGAGTTAAAAAGAGGAATCAAGACTTACAGTCAAAATCAGGAAACTTACAGTCAAAACCAGGAAACCTGAGGAACCAGGAGAGCTGAGAGTGAAGAGACCAGAGCATATTCAGGAGTCAGCTAAAGGGTTCCGCAAGATGGAGTGCGGGCACTGAGCCTGGCAGAGGGTTTTAGACATAGACGAGCCAGGCCACCTGAAAGAACTAGATTAGGAGGGACAGAAAAGGGGCAGCTGCTAAACTCTAGCATGACCTCCTGAGAGCACAGTGTTCTTCCGAATCAGGAGCCCGAATGCACGTGTTGGATCTAGCTCTACCACGCAAGATCCCCCAGTCCTGGAAGTGGAGAGGATTGGTCTTTGGCAACCGTGGCCCACTTTTCCAGCTCTTAGGAGACTTTCTTCCTGGGGTGGTGGGGAGGGGGCAAGCTTATGCTGGTGCTCATTACCCAAAGTGCGTTCATCGCCCAGGCAGATGAACTAAGAGCTCTTTATCTGGTTTTCTCCCCTTCTTCCCCCTCTTGCTTACTTGCCTCCTGGAAAGGGAGAAAAAAAGAGTCTTAGCCTTGAATGAGTCTTAATCTTGATTTCAGCCTTAGAACTGGCACAGTTTTCTGTCAACACACTGTGCTGCCTTAATGCCCAGGTGGATTTTGAAAAGAGCTTAGGAATCACCCTCCTCCTCATATCCTACCAAAATTTATCATTGAAATAAATTCCTCTGAGGTTTTTCAAGTGGTCATTTTGCTGCTCTCATTGGACTGAAGGACAGGAAATACTATCTTCATTTTCTTAAAATTAGGGTACCTCACAGAAGCACCCTTTTATTTCCTCTAACTCCTATTACATTACTAATGTGAGATGGAAAAAAACTATGGTTTTGGCAGTGGGTGATAAGAAGCACTGGCTCAAAAAAAAAAAGAAAGGAAAAAAGAAACACTGGCTCTTTTTCACAAAAGTGGACATTTTTCTATAAAATAATCTTGCTCATTTTCAGAGAATTTCTTTAGAAGATAGACTTTAAATTTGTTTCTCATCTGTGGGGGCAGGGAGGAGAATCAATTTTTCAGTATTTGTATTCAACAGGATAATTTAGAGTCTATGATTGGCTACATTTCTCTAATTTGTAAAGGATTAATTCACTGCTGACCTAAATTCTTTCACAGTAGCAAATCGAGAATTGTTTCCAAGCAACCGAAATTGCTGACATGAGGATTCAGCCTTTCAGCACTTTTCACAAAAGCTGAGAAGTCTGTTCTGCTGGTCAGATGAATGGAAGGTGTGTGATGAGAAGCCTGGGACCTCTGAAAGACCAGCAAAACTGCTTCTAAGACTCCAGAACACAGCCTGTGTCTGTACAGTCAGGACCTTGCTTTTTGGTTGGAAAAACATACACGGCTCCACTTACTGAGAAATCCCCAAAAGACTCTATGCTGTTCATATTCTGATTGAACATCAGTAATTGGTATATACAGAGCAGTTTCTACAACAAAAAAAAACATGCAACTAAATGCATCCAGTCTTAGGAATGGAAATTGTGTTTACTCTTTTCATAACCTGAATTTTCATATATTTGTGGAGCAGATTACATGGGACAAAATAAGCTCAGACCAGTGCTAAACACACAAGAAGTACTCTTGGAGGTGATTTCAGCACTGGGGGTGGAGGCATGAGGTCCCCCTAGTGGCAAATCAGGACAGCCCCACGGATAACAGGCAAGTCTTATGTACTAAGCAAAAACGGATTTTTGAAAAAACTTGAGTGACCTATTTCATTTTACAAATAAGAAAAGGAAGTTATTTGCCCAACTTCAGTGGTGGTCAATTTGAAATCGTAATTCCTCAATACTGAATTCTTCTCTACTTTATAGTGAATAGCATCCTAACCAATTAGAAGTTCTCTAACAACTTCAAGGTTCTTAGTTTGATCTATGGCAAAGCATTAGAGTCAGGTTGATCTGAATTTCTAAGAGAAGACAAAATATAAGTATTTTGTAACAGAAACAAATAAAGGAAACTCAGATGGCTCACTTGTAATTGCCACCTGAAAAGGTACTATTTGAATTTTCATATATTTCAGTGTCTCCCAGACATCTATGTGTGTGTGTTAGTTGCTCAGTCATGTCCAGCTCTTATTACCTCATGGACTATAGCCCCTACAAGGCTCTTCTGTCCATGGGATTCTCCAGGTAAGAATACTTGACTGGGTTGCCATTTCCTTCTCCCCCAAATGTCTATAAATACACATGAAAGACCTCTAGTAAATTTCTTACATTTTATACATATCAGGTACTTAATATGTATAATAGGAATAATACTCATTTAGAGAAGGTATTGTTAGAATTTTTAAAATAAATAAGTATAATCCCTGTTGTCTTTTCCCTGAAATTTAAAAAGCATGGTAAGATATGGTATAACAAAGGCTCGATTAAGGCAGTTATGAGGGAACTATTATATATGTGGAGCCAGAGAACAGGAAAAAGAAATTTTCAGAGATGAGACTAGTAGCCCCTAAAAGATTCTTCAGCAAAGAAAACGGTAAATGGAGCCAGCATTCCCAAAGAGGGCCTACCCTTCACAATAGTGTAGGCCACAAAGTTTCTGAGAAGAGAGGCAGAAAATATTCATGAAGAGATAAGAAAAGCCCAATCGCTGAATTTGGTCCTTTTTTACTCTATGCAGCATTGTATCATTGAAAAATTTAAGCAGTGGGTGTATGATGCTATTTGCATTTCAGAAAGAAAGATTGATGAGTAGATTGTACTTACCATCTCCATCTGTGCTAATAGAACTTTGCCCTTACAGTGAAAAGAGTATAACCACTGGGTTACAGAATTACTTATAACAAAGGCATAGCTAAGACCCCTAGCTTTATGATTACTGCCTAACTTAAAATCAAAGCTCTATTTGCAGTTTAAATCCCCTCTGTGTCTATAGGATAATAGGCAATCTAAATTTTTCAGAAATTTTGATGTATTAATGGAAAAATAAATTTTCTTCTACTCTTTTTACATGTCTGAGAAGTGACAGAAACTGGAAAGGAATTGAAAGGCATACAGTTTAAAATAGTATGCTATTCACACAATTTCAATTAACATCTGACTTATTTTTATTACTTTAAAATACAGAAGAGATAAAATATATGGAAATTGGATAAGCTTATCTTTTCTAGTTTATAAAGAATAGGAAACGCTTGAGAAAAGGAAACAATTAACATTATCATCAAAGTTATTTTCTGGATTTAGTGTACAGATTATTAAACAGATAGCAAGAAATGAAGGACAAAAGGACAGAAAAAAAGCAATAAAATAGCTTTGGAAATAGACCATTTACCTTCTTAATACTTTCTTCAGAGTTTGCCCTGTAGGAAATGTCTGTCCCTCTGAGCATTCTTTTAAAAACAAAAATACAGTCATTGGGCTTCTGAAAATGGAAGGATTACCCAGCTTGAGGAAGATTTCCTGTCTTTTTTCCCACTGGAATGTATGTCTTTTATCAACAGGTCCAAGCTCACATCAGGGCTTCATCGCGCAGCCCTGAGTGTGGGTAAGCAGGCCTCTGAAACCATGACTGCCTGTCGCTGCTGCAGCGGAGTCAGCAGATCCAAGGCTGCAGCCCGGGCCCCAGGCCAAGCCTGGCTTAGTGTCTCCCACATTGCATGGTCTATTTTAAACCCAGGCCTCAGTGTGAAGATTCTTTACAGGCTGAGCAAAACAGTAGTTGTGCCACCTTTTGTTAGGATTTCTTGGTGACTCTTTTACAACCCTCTCACTTTCAAAACATCTGTATCCTTATGTTGTAGATGTGGCTCTTGTGAACTCATATAACTGAGTTTTATCCAATTCAGAGCTATTTTTCTTTAAGTTAGATCATTTAGTCCAGTTATAGTAAATGAAATTATTCGTGTGTTCGTTGTGCATTCATAATAAGTCGCTTCAGTCGTGTCTGACTCTCTGTGACCACATGGACTGTAGCCCACCAGGCTCCTCTGTCCATGGGATTCTCCAGGCAAGAACACTGGAGTGGGTTGCCATTCCCTTCTCCAGGGGATCTTCCCAAACTTGGGATGGAATTCGCATCTCCTGCATTGGCAGGCAGGTTCTTTACCACTGGTGCCTAGGAAGTTACTCATACATGGGTTTAAATCCACATAAATCTTATTATGTGCTTACTGTTCGTCATGCCAAATTTAGGCTCCTTTGTCTCTTTCATCTTGCCTTCTATGGAACTGATTACCTTTGGCAATTCCAGTTCCTTCCCCTCTACCAGCATTTCCCTCATAGCTCAGTTGGTAAAGAATCTGCCTGCAATGCAGGAGACCCCAGTTCAATTCCTGGGTCAGGAAGATCCCCTGGAGAAGGGAAAGGCTACCCACTCCAGTGTTCTGGCCTGGAGAATTCAGACTGGTGTACAGTCCCTGGAATAGCAAAGAGTTGACAGGACTGAGCGACTTTCACTTTCATTTCACTTTCACTTTCCCTTCTACCAGTTTAGGGGTTATATGCTCCATATCTATGCTTTTTATGATTACTCTTTAGCATACATCTTCAATTTATTAAAGGCTCTTATTAATTGACATATTTCCGCCACAAGAAAATGCAGAGCATACAACACTTTAACTATCATTCCACTTGATGGATAACATATCATTGTTATTGTCATTAATTATACATGTAATAGAATGTATTATAGATTAATGTTTTATATACCTATGCATGTATATATATAAGTATATATTCTACAAAGTTTCATATGTTATTTTAATGTCATTTTTCATTTAAATTTACCCACCATTCTTATTTCATTTGATCTTTTTCCTTCCTATATTTCTGAGCTTTTTCTTGGTATAATGTTCCTACATTATTCTTCTGCTACATGTTTAGAAATTCTAATATAGTGGATCTACTGAAGATGAACTCTCTTGTATTTCAAAGCTTTGTTATCTTACCATGTGTTTATTTTGCCTACATTCATGAGGGGTATTTGCACTGGGAACAGGTTTCTAGACTATCAATTACTTTGTTTCAGTGTGGTAAAGATATAATTCCCCTGCCTTGTGCTTCCAGGGTTCTACATTGGAGAAGTTAGCTGTCAGTTTTATTGCCCTTTCAAAGGTAATTTGGGTGATTTTAAGATTTTTCTCTTCATTTGGGGTTTTCCAAAATTTTTATGTACCTGTGTTATCTACTGGTATGTGTGTATATAAACAGATGGTTGATGGATGGAAGGAAGAAAGGGAGGAAGCAAAGAGAGATGGAAGGAAGAGAGAAAGAGAGAAAAAAGAAAGAATTTTGAATGTTACTAAACAGATCTTTTCACACTCCAGATGCACTACTGCTTTTTTGCCTTTTGCCACCGTTTAAGTAGAAAGTACTCAGAGAGTAAAAGGTACTTTATTTACTGCCCTTCTAAGGGAGGACATATGCCGCTTAGAGCACGGAGTCGGAATGTTGACACCGAATTCCAAAAAGGCTCTTAAAACTCACGGAGACAAGAACAACCTTGAAACCAGAGGTTTTCACTGAAGGCTGAGATCTTTAAGAGACAAAGGACTTTGTGAATTTAAACTCAAAGTAAAAAGTTGAAACTAAATAAATTTGAGAAAAATCATTAAGATTGTAAGACAAGTTTTCTTTGTACAAGATGAGGAGATAAAATAATTTATCAGGGAAGCACTTCTTGTTCATGAATACAGAAAATAGGGAAAAACAGTAAATGATTTACAGTTTGTGGGCAGAGAGTTCACTGTCTTCAGTCCCTAACTCTAGAGCAAATCCTTTCAAAGGGAAATGATAGAATCCCCAGATAAGTTCTGGAGGACACCTTTAGAGAGGATGTTTGTCTCATTTCCCAGGCAGAAAGCCCTGTAGAGAAGCTGTTTGCTTGGTCCAGGTAACTATGGAAGAGCAGAATAGTCTGAGTGGCCAAACTTGACAAATGGACCTAAAGCATCAGCAGAATTCAAGCCCTCACAGAGTCATAGAGAAAGGTTTTCTGTGTCCCAGGAGAGCAGTACAAAGACTGAAATTAGGCAGACTGGAAGATGTGGGCCTGTTGACCAGTGGCCATGGTAAACCCAGGAGGACCTCAGCAGAGCCCCTGTATACAAGCGTACAATCAAACACCAGTGCTGAAAGCCTAAAAGGTGTTGAACACCCACACAGGACAGAAGATGGAAGTGGACCAGATGTCTCTACCCAACACCAGGACAGTGCCTCCACTCACTGCCTCTCACCACTGCGGAGTTTAGATCATCCACCAGAAAGGTGGAAAAGGGAAAAAAATAAAACCAGGAAGGAAATCCCAGTAACAGACTGAATATTTTCCTAAAGAAGGTCAGGCCCACATCATTAATTGTTATTTAGTCAGTCAGTGGTGTCCAACCCTTTTGTGACCCCATGCACTGTAGCTCACCAGGCTCCTCTCTCCATGGGCTTTCCATGGCAAGAACGCTGGAGTGAGTTGCTATTTCCTTCTCCAGAGGATCTTCCCAACCCAGGGATGGAAGCTGCATCCGCTTCACTGGCAGATGAATTACTTACTGCTGAGACACCAGGGAAGCACTACAAGCCCATATAAGAACATATAATACAGCCGAATGGACCGAAATAACCATAGGTAAGCAAACTACCTCTGGAGAAGGCAATGGCACCCCACTCCAATACTCTTGCCTGGAAAATCCCATGGACGGAGGAGCCTGGTGGGCTGCAGTCGATAGGGTCGAGAAGAGTCGGACATGACTGAGAGACCTCACTATCACTTTTCCCTTTCATGCATTGGGGAAGGAAATGGCAACCCACTCCAGTGTTCTTGCCTGGAGAATCCCAGGGACGGAGTCGCACAGAATTGGACACGACTGAAGTGACTTAGCAAGCATACTACCTCAACAACATTTAAAGGAACTACCCCAACACAACATTTGCCATCGTTAGCTTTTAAATAGGTGCAATGAGTGAACCATGAGAAGTCAGCGTTACCCAAAGGTATTCCCTGTAGATGAACACAAGGAGTCAGGAGGTGGTCCGTTGGCGTTATACAGTCACAAACATTCATTAGTGATGAAGAGGAAAGAGTAGCTGGGTTCAGGTTTGCACCATGTCAAAGCGTTATGAGAGGAACAGTTACCAGAAGCACTTCACAGGGAGTGAGGTGGCTGACTGAGAAATATGATGAGAGTGTAAGAGCGCGTCTACTGTCTGAGGGGCAGAAATGGTCACGGGGCCCCATAAGTTTCCCTGGTGGTCTTAGCCAGAGAGGCGGTGGACTCAGTGGCTCAAAGGCGGCAGATCCCCACGACACAGAACCCGTGTGCTGACTGTTAGGCCGCACACGTCCATGCTGGGCCCCATGTGTTAGGTGAGTACTCCAAGGTCGTTCTCTTCCTTTTCACAGGCATCTGATAATTGGGCTGCCCAGGAGCAGGTGGGTCCATCAAACTCCCCTTTAAAGTTTTAAAGGCTCTGTCATCCAGTTCTTCCCCTTAGATTGGGTCAAGGCTGTTGTTGTTTAGTAGAACCCACAGAGTTTTGGCTGCAAGAGAGATATTTGGATTCCAGTTTGGGGGATTAACCAACTCTCTTAAGAAAACCTTGCAGCGGTCAGTTAGCTTTGTATTTGGGAACACTTGGGGCACTTATGAAGTCCATCTGAACCTAGTTGTAGCCCTTCTTCTGATATCAGATGCCCTAAATATTAAACCCGGATCTGGGCAATTTTTGCGGGGAAACTTACGTCCCTTTAAGGTTAAAACCCTTAGCATGTGGCTGCTGTCTTCTTGTGAAGAGGCTTGAGAAGGGAAGCAAAGAAGCAAATTATCCACATATTGCAGCAAAGTAGGACCTCTAGGAACTTATACCGTCCAGATCAGCCTTTGGCAGTTTTGCGAAATAAGGAGGACTGTCAGTAAAACCCTGAGGCTTTACCATCCAGGTGAATTGTTTTTCTTCCCAAACAAAGGCAGAAATGTATAGCCAGCTTCACCAACGAGAAAACTAAAGAATACACTGCATAAGTCAATGCAATAAAAATTTGGCTTTCGGCGGAAATTGATGCTAATAAAAAATGAAGGTTAGGAACAACGAGGTGTCAAGGGATAACAATGTTTATTGCTCAGATGTCCTGGACAGAGCTCTACCCTTGGCCTTTAGGCTTTTCATTTGTGAAATAGAAATATTAGAAGGACAAATATGAGGGATAAAGAGGCCTTGAGGTTTGTAATTTTCTAATATGAGTTTTACGTCTTAAAGGGCTTCCTTGGTTTTTCTTGTTCAGTTGCTCAGTCGTGTCTGACTCTTTGCGACCTCATGGACCGCAGCACGCCAGACTTCCCTGTGCATCACCATCTCCTGGAGCTTACTCAAACTCATGTCCATCGAGTCAGTGATGTCATCTAACCATCTCCTCCTCTGTCATCCCCTTCTCCTCCTTCTTTTAATCTTTCCCAGCATCAGGGTATTTTTTAATGAGTCAGCTCTTCACATCAGCTGGCCAAAGTATTGGAGCTTCAGCTTCAGCATCAGTCCCTCCAATCAATATTCAGGGTTGATTTCCTTTAGGATTGACTGGTTTAACAGCC